CCGTTACAGAGCGCGTGTTCCTTGCATCACTGAAGCTGCTGGAACCAGACGCTGCTGCTCCGGAGTCGGCTTCTCCTTCTGCCCAACCTGGTCATCCGGCAAGTGAGAAACCGTGGGTCTCTAACTTGATTGGCGAGTTTTCTGAAGTGTTTCAGGATCCTCTTCCGGAACAGTTTGCCTCCTATGAGAAAGGAAGTGCACAGTATTTCCACAGAGCCAGGACATCCGCCTCCGTTTCGGCAGATGTACCGTTTATCTCCGTTGGAGTACAGAGAGTTGGAGAAACAGGTCACGGCTTTTCTTAAGGCTGGGATTTTGGAAATGTCCACGTCCCCATATGGTGCACCTGTTCTGTTTGTTCCAAAGCCTAATGGCAGGGGTTTGAGACTGTGTGTCGATTACCGGGCTTTGAACGCAATCACTATCAAGAATCGTTGTACGATTCCCAGGATAGATGATCTTCTGGATGCAGTGTCAGGATCAAAGTATTTTACTTCATTGGATCTGACGTCTGGTTATCATCAGATACTGATTTCTGAGGAGGATCGACCTAAGACTGCGTTTCGCACTCCGTTTGGTCATTTTCAGTTTAAGGTGTTGATAGAAGGCCTGACGAATGCACCTGCGACGTTTCAGACGGCTATGAACTCTATCTTCCATCCTTACCTCCGAAAATTTGTTGTTGTCTATCTAGATGACATTCTGATATACTCTCGGACAGAGAAGGAAAATAAGGCACATGTTCGCCTAGTTCTGGACGTTCTCAAGCGTGAGAAGTTTTACGTGTGTAAAGCTAAGTCCACCTTTGCTGCCAAGGAGATTAAGTTTCTGGGACATATTGTCAATTCGGAAGGCATTCGCCCTGACCCTAAAAAGGTCGAGGTTGTCCAAAATTGGCCTGTGCCGAAGAACGTTCATGAGGTTCGTTCATTTCTGGGCTTGGCTAATTATTTTCGGAAGTTTATTAGTCATTATTCGGAAGTCGCCGCTCCCTTGACTAATCTTACGAAAAAGTCTCACGTGTGGCTTTGGACTGGCAAATGCCAAGATGCTTTTGAGAAGCTTAAGCATCTTCTGACAGAAGCTCCGTTGTTAATGACTCCAGATGAGTCAAAGACCTATCGTGTGGTTACGGATGCTTCTGATATTGGTCTGGGCGGAGTTTTGCTACAGGAGGATCTTCCTATAGCTTATGAATCTCAAAAACTGAATTCTGCTGAGCAGAACTATACAACGACTGAACGGGAAATGTTAGCCGTTGTTCATGCTCTGCGTGTGTGGCGTTGCTACCTGGAAGGTGTGTACTTTGAAGTTGAGACGGACCATAAGTGCAATACTTTCTTCCAGAGTCAGCCGAACCTCTCACGGCGCCAAGCACGTTGGTCGGAATTCCTACAGCGCTTTGGCAAGTTCAAATGGGACTATCGCCCTGGCGAGCAGAATGTTGCGGATGCGTTAAGCAGAAGGGATGTAGCTGCCAGTTCGCAAGATTTTGTATCTGTTTTTAAAGCTCTGGCGGTCTGCGCTGCTGCTGTTTTGAGCGGAATGTACGATCGGTCTAGTAAGCCCGGCCAGGCTGAACGGTTAGATCGCGACCAAAGTTGTGCTTCGACCCTAACGTTTGAATTGCCGTCTTCCTTGCTCAAGTCTCTCCACTTGGAAAGTCAGGTTCTGTGCGAACAGATACGGCGAGATGCAAACCGTCCCTCTAAGTCGCCTGGGTTGTGTGTCAACTCGCAAGGTCTTGTCATCAAGGATTCCCAAGTAGTAGTCCCTGATCATTGTGATCATCTGAAACGGGATATCATGGAAGCTTTTCATGATACACCCTCTGCGGGACACTATGGAATAGCCAAGACTTGCAAGGCAATCCAGAAACTCTTCTTTTGGACATCCATGAGAG